CCTTTGAAAGATTTAATTGGGGAAGATAAACCTGTAGAGAATCTAATGGAGGCGCAGCTCTTCGCCACTCAAGATTATCTCTCTGTCACCCAGTGACCCAGCTTCTTCACACTACGTTTTAATTTTTGTACCAATTATACTGTATATGGATAATTCCTATTAGCATATTTATGGTCATTGCTTCATATTTATTGTCTGCACAACTCATTAATCTTCATCTAGTGTGTGGGGCTGACAGCTCAATCTATTTTGTAATCTTTGGGTGGCAGCCATACCCAGAAAGGGCTTTGTTTCCCTGTAAATAAACTGTGTTGGGACCAGAGGACAATGGTGCATCATATAGTGATTGACACAAGCCAGGGCTGCTAATCAAAAGTAGATTTTATTACCAGATGAGTCAAGTGCATTATGGGGCCATTGTTCTAGCACTGTCAGGGCAGGAGCGGATGTGGTCAGTCACCTCCTCAAGATGGGTTGATTGTTCTCCAAGATTACAGAGTCGCCGTATTATCCAGCCCAGACAACAAGGCGACTCCCCCCGAAACAGACACCTTTTGCAGAAACTGCCAGTGCATTAGGTTGATTTGAATTGCTAATATGTAATCTGTCTAGCACAGATGTGCAATGAATATTGGGATGTTTTGCATGTCAGTTGAGGAGGCTGAATGATGAGGTGGTGATTATTCAATGATGGCTACTGGACATTCGCCAGCGGTTGAGTTCTAGCACTTTTCTCTGACACTAATCAGATCATCTTCCAAAGACTCATTCCTTTTGTCGATTCAATGACAATTTATGTAAGAATTTAAGATGCCTCCTCTTCTAGTTAACACAGTTGGCAAAAATTTGGGTATTTTGATTTTTTCCCCCAAACACGCCCACCTCAAATAGAATAAAAACTTCACACACAGACATCTTACTTATTTATTTTAAAACTTCAATTTCCATTGGAATAAAATTACAAACATATTCCAAGAGACTTGCCAAAGGCACCTCGTATTTAATGAAATGAATATATATATATAAATATTATTAAGAATAACCAGGGACATTGTTATCAAAGCATTCTATGAATGTGAGTCTAAAGACAAAATGATAACAGGTGCTATTATGACAGGAAACTATAGGTAGCAGAGCAGTGACCTGAAAAAAATCCCTGCAGTGTCTTTTACAGCTACACACCAACTGTATACTGTATAGTTTCAAAGCTGATTAAAAATATTTAATTGATCAATTACTTGTCTTTTAACTGATCAGTATTATATGTACCGTAATTGAAATAAACACAAATCCTACCAAAATTCCCCAATGCTTTCTTACTCATAGAAATGCAAGATACATAATAATTTAATAAACCCATTATTAGAAAAAACATTTTTATTCCATAATAGTAACACATCAAAAAATAGCTTCCAAAAATAAGCATGTTTCTCTTAAACTTTCAGCCTACATCAATTTAAAAATTATTGTTATTAAAATAAACCCAACCAAGAAACTAATACTTACATTTTCATGTTTAAAACCTGCATCCCTACAAATGATTTACATGGGCATTTCAGGCTGAGATGAAGAAGTATTGGTGTCCTAACCAGTGGGACTGCAACAAAATGTTGCAGCATGGGGAGTGTTTCTTGTTCAGGATTTCAGCCACTCTATCCTCCACCCACATATTTTTTTTTAAAAAAATCATTTTCACATTTTAAAAATATTTTAAACCAAAACTTTACAAATCAAATTTACTTTCCCTTCAACTTCCCTCCCCTCCTATTTATTAATTTTCCCCTAGGTTCTCCCTAGTTATCTCTTATTGCATGTGTTCATATCAGTCCTGCTAATGTTCTAGATTTGTTTATCTTCAGATAATGAATAATTTTTCCCTACTCTATTTTTAAAAGTCTTTCTTCTTGGTTTCTTATTATTTCAGTAAGTTTTGCCATTTCTGCATACTCCATTAATTTAATTGCTCATCTTCTTTTGTTGGAACTGTTTCTTCCTTCCATTTTGGGGCATAAATCATTTGGGCAGCATACATAGGTTTTTTCCCCTGTTCGCTGGGTACTTCTCCACTGATTATACCTAAAATAAAAGCTTATGGGTTTTTCCACAAAGGTTATCTTCTTCATTTTTTTCAAATCATTATAAATCATTTCCCAGAAGATTCTTGCTATCTTACATGACCACCACATATGGAAAAAGTACCTTCTTTCTCTCTACATTTCCAACAGGTATCCAATTCCAACTTATACATTTTTGCCAATTTACTAGGAGTCAGATACCATCTACACAACATTTTCAAATAATTTTCTCTATTTGCGTAACATGCTGTAAATTTCAAATCCACATTCCACAACCTTTCCCATTGTTTCCCATTCTAGAAGCATTTTAGACCTCATCTTTTGACTGTTGCTTAACAGGTCTTTTTCTAATTCTCCACCCCCATTTCCCCATGCTTTATGCCAGTTCTCACTGGTCTGTTTTGAAGTTTTCATCTAAAATATTTTTTTAAATTTTTCATTTCTGCAGACTTTGAGGTTCCCACAAGCCTGTCTGGCCACATAAACAGCAGCATTCACAGCTTGAACCTCACAAATGATGGTCTAGGGGTCACTGTACGTAGTTTGCACCCCCCCGTATTTAAAACTGGTGACTTCAAACTGGAGACCAGCTTCAAGGAAGAGCAACGGGAATTATCAAAGGTATGAGAATGTTTAGTGTAGCCTGTAGAGCCATGCTATGCAGTTGTTCACAAGAAAATCTAGTCACACGCAAAAGCTTGCAACTTTATGATTTCTTGAATGAGATGATTATATTTCACAAACATGTGACGCAAAAGTGGGAGAGGATTATTTAAAGAGTGTCACCACCCTAGGTGCACCTATAGACCTATAGCACACTGGAGGTATGTGGGCCTGCCAACAGAACATGATCTGTGCTTTCCTTCTGTATGGTCAACCATACTGGGACTTGCAAATAAATGCAAATATTGCAAAACACCATAGGCTGGTTGTGACCTCCTTCCAAAAGCAACTCAGGTCTACACCACTCAGAGAAGTGAGAACATGCCACTATTCCTCTACCACTGCTTACTGTTCTCAGGTATCTTGACATTTTAAAGGGACCCCTGACCATTAGGTCCAGTCATGACCAACTCTGGGGTCGCGGCGCTCATCTCGCTTTACTGGCCGAGGGAGCCAGCGTACAGCTTCCGGGTCATGTGGCCAGCAGGACTAAGCTGCTTCTGGCAAACTAGAACAGCACACGGAAACACCGTTTACCTTCCCGCCGGAGTGGTACCTATTTATCTACTTGCACTTCGTGCTTTCGAACTGCTAGGTGAGCAGGAGCAGGGACCGAGCAACGGGAGCTCAGCCAGCGGTCCTCATCTGAGGCCCTTCTTCAGGTACTCCTCACAAGGTTTCCATTTGTAGCATGCTCTCCCCAGAGGGGCCTGCCTGGCACCCTCATTACATATCTTTAGGCTCCAGATGAAAACATTCCTCTCCCAGGCCTTTGGCTTATTAAACAATCTATGGCCTTTTAAACTGTGTGTGTTTGGAGGGGGAGATTGTTGTTTTGTTCGTTATCAGACTATGCATTTTTATGTTTGTATACTGTAAACCACCCTGTGATCCTTAGATGGTATATAAATTTAAATAATAACAATAACAACAATAAATGCTAGAAGGCAGTGCTTCCCAACAGGAGAGGGGTCAGTGGCACCATTCACATAACAAAAACTACCAGAGATATAGAAAATGTCAAAACTAGGAGGTCCATGGCTTGACTTTTGAAAAACAGGACATCTGCAGTACTTAGCTAGTTGGGAGCCACTGCTATAAACAGAAAGCTCCTTTTCACCTACATCAGGGATTCTCAAATTGTCACCCATGAGAATTATTTAAGTGGCCTGTGGTGTATTTGTGGACTTGTGCTTGAAGGTTGCGCGAGAGAAGTGGTTTAGTCCTGTTGGCCACATGACCCGGAAAGTGGTCTGTGGACAAATGCCGGCTCCCTTGGCCTGAAGCGAGATGAACGCCACCCCACAGTCGCCACTGACTGGACGTAACCATCCAGGGGTCCTTTACTTTTACCTGCACCACATTCATTGTATTAACTTTAATTGCATTTTTATTGCTTCTTTTACTTCTTAAATTGTATCTTATTGTATTAAAATTTGAATTTTATGGAATTTAGATTGTTATACAATATATAAAAGCAGTATTATACAATTAAAAGCCATACAGCATTTAGCGGTGCATTAACAATTCCTACAAGCAGGAAACAACTTTTATGTGGCCTGCAATAACCCTCAGCAATTTTTAAGTTGTCACTGAAGAGGGAGGAATTGAATACTGACCTCCAGTATTTTCCCTTCTCCTAGGGCAGTTTTCAAATTTCCTAGACTGACATTTGTCAATGGAATCCTATGCACTGCAGATTTGAGAGGTGCAGCGTCAACTAACATAGGCCACTTACTAGCGCATATCTAACATGCAATGCATGTTCCAGTAGATCAGTAATGGCAGACAAGCTACATCATGCATTCTCACATTGAGGAAAACCTCAGGTATTTTCTGGGAAGCTTTGTATTTTTTAGTAACAGAATGAAAACCACTGATCTGGGGTATCTGTAACTTCCATGATTGTGGAGGTAAACTGATTTGGGGTCATTTATAGAGTTTTGAGGCAACACAATGGATAAAGCAATGTTTCATGATTAAGCTCCAATTGTTGGAATAGGGGTCACAAAATGAATTCCCTTATCAGATTGCCTATTACTTTTAAAGGTTTTTTATGTTGTTTTGAGAGGAAATTGTATATACTGTAAATAGTTTTACCAATAAATGAAATGGAATGAGCCTTGGCTTGCTTATCTAAAACACTTGGAACTACTTCAGTAATCATAAGTGTCATGGGCACCTATTGATTCTTCCATGCAACAAACCATGTCACTTTCAAGACTGGCCTCTTGAAATAATGAATGATAGCATAAACAAGACTGATTTTTTAATCTTCATTTTATTATTTTGCAGCACATAGTGCAAGACAAAGTATAAAAAATATCAAGAGACAAGTTCACTATCAGAGTAGTTTGTTATATGCCAGATTCAGTCTAAAGTGGTGGTCCAACACAGAGTCAGAAGAATCACATTAATAATCTTTTGGGATGTTAGTCCATGGGTGTAATAGAAAACCCAGCATTAAAAAACCAATGTCACATTATGGAGCTTGATTTTATTGTGCTAAGCTATGAACGTATTGATACAGCTTTTCAGTGAATGCTTCCAGTGAAAACTTTTCTAGAACTCTAGTTCTCCCAGCAGCTCCCATTGTCTTCTTCAAAGCAGGGTCTTTCACGAATTTCTCCATGGCTTCTGAAAACTGGGTTGGAAGAGGATCACACAAGAAACCTGTCTTATTGTTTACAACCGATTCCAAAGGTCCCCCTGAATTTACTGCGATGACTGGGCATCTCATGTACATAGCTTCTAAAGGAACTATGCCAAAGTGTTCGTTACCTGGTGTATACAGCACACACGTGCAGTTACTAAGAAGAGCTATCTTCTGTGCATCAGAGAAAGATCTTAAGAATGTGATCTGCTCATCAATGCGAAGCTTGGCAGCAACTGCTTTCAGTTCTTCATAATAGTCCACGTTTTCTTGAACTGCTTCATCATAACCACCAGCCAAAACCAAGTGAACATCCTTCCACTCCTGAGCATCAAGTTTACCCCGAAGGTCATGCAAAGCCTCTAATGCCAATACTAGATTCTTCTTCCTTTCATACCTATTGATGGAAAGAAACAAGAATCTCTTCCTGTTGGGAACTATGTTAGCTACATCTTCAGGAATAACCGTATCAAACACGTTGACATTCAAAGAAGGGTACAAGACATCTGGATTTATGTGAGATAAGGATTTGAAGGTTTCTTTGAAAACACCGGCTGTGAAAAAGCTGTTGACAAGAATACAGTCTGCCATGCCAGTAGTATACTCTTCCAACCAGTCCAGTGGAGCTCTGTAGATACGTTTAAGAAACGATTCCCTCTTGGTCAGAAGCTGATCAGGGAAGTGACAGTAAAACAAAATCTTCTTACGGATGCGGGCAAGACGGAGAAATGGAATGCATGCAGATACCTAGAAAAACAAAGAAATACGCCTAAGAAAGGAAACTGCTATACTGAATAACAGTGCCTCTTATGCTTGCCCAATTGTTACGTTTAGCTGTGTTTTATCTTGAACAACCCAAAGGAATGTTCTCTACACTAGATGTTTAATCAGCAGTGTCAGCATAATCCAGAATGTCTAGTGTCAAATGGTGTTACCAACCTGTGGCATAATGCATTTGTTCCTAGTATTCCTTTTCATCTCTTCTCAGAGGTAAGAAAATATGACTTTGCTGCAAATTGCAGCTGAAGGAAGCAGCTGGAATGCAAGAAGCCTGGCTTAGTGTGTGTGTAATGTTTTAGGTGCTTTCCTTCCCTTGTTTGGAAAAGGAGTGAATGAGATGATAATGGCCAGGGACCCTTCAGGATGTTCCTTCCGTCTGGGCTGGTGGGACAGCAAGATGCCCCATCTTTCTAGAACTTTTGTCTCTGGCTCCTTGACAGCCGCTTGCATGGTAGCAACCACAGATAGAGTAACACTTACCACCCCTGATTATAAGCAGATTTCCCCCTCTTCACTTTCTTTGTTGCAAGCAGCATGCGTTTTTTAAGCACACTTTCCTGTGAGAAGGCCCCATTACCATCAATGGGCACTTATTAAATTTGTGTACCACCCTTCATCCGAAGATCCCAGGCCGGTTCACGATAGCAAACAACAAAAGGACAATGCAAAATACATAATAAAACAAAAACCAAGGCTTATGCAGTGGCCCACTCATGAGGCAGGGTCCACAGAGGCAGAAGATGTTCCTTTCCCTCTCATTCCTGATGCAGTGCTTTCCTCACTCCTTCTTCCCTGACCGGGGGGGGGGGGGCGTGGGGGGAGCGCAGAGATTTCCTAATTCGCCTCAGAAAAATGATAGCTCAGTTGGTAGACCACGAGACTCTCAATCTCAAGGTTGTGGGTTCAAGCCCCAAGTCGGGCAAAAGATTCCTGCATTGCAGGGGGTTGTACTAGGCAGAGGTGGCCAACTCCCAAGAGACTGCGATCTACTCAGAGTTAAAGACTCAGGTAGGTAGCTGTGTTGGTCTGATGCAGTCGAAATATATATAAAAAACTGTGCAGTAGCACCTTAGAGACCAACTAAGTTTGTTCTCGGTATAAGCTTTCGTGTGCATGCACACTTCTTCAGATACACTGAAAAAGAAGAGTTAAAGACTGGCAGTATCTACCCCCTTTTTTGGGGTTCTGGGCAAAAATGTTTAGCTTTTTTTAGAGGAGCCAAACTTGTTGAGCTTCTTTGGGGGGAGCCAGTGATCTACCACAGATGTCCGTGATCTACTGGGAGATCATGATCTACCTGTTGGTCACGCCTGTACTGGAGAACTCTTGTGGTCCCTTCCAAATCTACAATCAAGGCCAGATTTAGGTTTGATGAGGCCCTAAGCTACTGAAGGTAATGGGACCCTTTATATGTGATATTTGAGGGAGCAGGCTAGCAGGTGAGACCCATTACTTACCGTATTTTTTGCTCTATAAGACTCACTTTTTCCCTCCTAAAAAGTAAGGGGAAATGTGTGTGCGTCTTATGGAGCGAATGCAGGCTGCGCAGCTATCCCAGAAGCCAGAACAGCAAGAGGGATCGCTGCTTTCGCTGCACAGCAATCCCTCTTGCTGTTCTGGCTTCTGGGATTCAGAATATTTTTTTGTTTGTTTACCTCTTCCAAAAACTAGGTGCATCTTGTGGTCTGGTGCGTCTTATAGAGCGAAAAATACAGTACATCATAGGAGCCTACACAGCACAAAACACTGTTGCTGTATGTAGGTTTTATTTTATTTGTTTTTAATCTTATATTTTGGAAATGTACATCCAGTTTTCTCCCCTTTAAATGTTTTTGGGGGGCCCATGACAGTGGGGCCCTAAACTACAGCTTGTTTGGGCTTATACGTAAATCCGGCCCTGTCTACCCTCCTGTGATCCTATGGAACGTCTTGGGCCGGCTCTTCTGAGTGTATACCGGATCCAGGAATGGTGGGGCCGGGCCCCCCAAGGGGCATCTAGTCCGACCCCCCCCCGCCCTCACCTGGTCGCAGACGAAGACGTCGACCTCCTCCCCGCTGAGCAGCAGGAGGCTGAGGGCCAGGCAGGCCATGCGGAGGGCGGCGCAGAGCGCGTGGCCCCTTCCCAGGACGCTCCGGGGCAGCCAGCCGCCCGCCGTGCGCACGTCCAGCCCGCGCGTCTCCGAGAAGCAGCGCGCCGGGTCGTAGCGGGGCGTCCACACCTGCACGCGGCAGCCCCGCGACGCCAGCGCCACCGCCGCGTCCACCACCAGCCGCTCCGCGCCGCCCAGGCCCAGGTCCGGGTGCAGGAAGGCCACCGACGGGCCCCGCGCCTCAGCGCAGCCCTCAGCCCGGCCCGCCATGGCCGCCCCTCTGCGCACGCGCCGGCCGCGCCAGGAGGGCCACGTCGGACTCCGGCGGAGGGGTGGCCGCAGCGGCGCCTGTCTCCCGCGGGGGTGCTGACTCTCGGCCGTCCTCGCAGCGCGGGAGAAAAGGCGGCGGCGCGGGGCAGGAAGGCGAAGAAGCCCGAGCCTGCTCGGCGGGGAGGTAGCGCTGCCCCCGCTGGTGGGGAAAAGGAAGAGGTTCGAGCCAGGCGCTGTGCTGGGCAGCCGTATGCTAGGGGTCCTTCTTCCTCAGGCGCTGGCGGCGAGGCCCCCTCTCTCGTCGCCTGAGGAGAAGGAGGAGGAGGAGGGAGAAGCCGCCGCCACGACGACGGAGGCGACACTCGCCGGCTGAGGGAGTTTGTGAGAAGCACACGGAGCCGCCCTTCTTCGCCATGGTGAGAGCGGCGGAGAAGCGGAGGGGGGAGGGCGGGGCGGGGTGGGGGGCTCCGCTGCCTCCGGGGCTCCTGACCGTGTTCTTCTCTTCTCTCTCCCCGCAGCCCGGCCCCAATCCCAGCGCCACCAACGTGGGCGCCTCCGGCCGCTCGCCCAGCAAAGCCGTCGCCTCGCGGGCCCCGGGATCCACCGTCAGGCAGAGGTAGGCCGGGAGGGCCGCCCGGAGCAGGAACGATGACGTGTCGTCATTATTATTATTATTATTGCCATTAAGGTTGTTGTGGGACTAATAACGGTGTTGTTTACTGAATTTGTTAGCCGCTTTCCCTTGCCCGGGGGGACGGCAGCCAAACCCCGCTTAAGGGATTCAAGGGAAACCCCCCGAGGCGCAACGGAAGCGCCCAGGAAGTTTGAGGCTTACCCCAAAATCCGCTGCTTATTATTGTCATTAATATTATTAAATGTATTAGTCACTTTTCCCCTCAGCTTCACAAAAGCCCTCCTTCCTGCCTGGAGTTAGTTGAATTCCTTCACTAGCGGGTGGGCATCGTTTTGTATCTTGGGGGCTCTCTGCCATTGAACTCTTTCCCCACACACCCACAACCCTACTTGTGGGATTAACACAGAGCAGAGACTTAGAAACAGTTTCCGCTTCTATCAAGTTTTTAAAAAACTTTTTAAACATGTATATATACAGCTGAAAGTATGATTGTGGTTATCAAGCAAATATTAGACAGCTAATTACAGTCACACGAAAGCCTCTTGTTGGGAGAACCTGTCATATTTGGTTACTGTTGCTGCATTTCTGTTACTGGTTTTCTTTTTTAGGAAAAGTGCTAGCTGTGGAACAAGGAGTGCAGGCCGTACAACTTCTGCAGGCACTGGAGGGATGTGGAGATTTTATACAGAGGATTCCCCTGGCCTCAAAGTGTAAGTGAAAATATTAAAATATAGCAGTTCTTTAAGAAAATCATTCTTGTGTTCTCCCCAATCTATAGCTTATTGTGAAGCAATTGGATGCATACTATCATTCTTTGTAGTTACATGGAGAAAGAACAATTTTTGTAGTTGACAAAATGTTGGTTTTGAATTTTTTAAAATCAAATTATCTTATGTGGTGTGCGTGCATATAAACATGTGTGCGCGCCTTAATTTACTAAGTCAAGTAACACTATGCTCTTGGGTATTTGATGTATACTATACTTAGCAGGCCTGATTAGATATTATGCTGTTTAACTACCCATTGGAGTAACGTGAAGCTTTTATGGTTCCCAAACCTTGTAGGTGAAATAATTACTTGAGGTTCAAGAATTCTCTTCCATTTGTAAATTTGCAGTTGCTTTTGGGCATGGCAATGGTTAATTAAGACTTAAAAGGCATTTTTCTTCTTCTTCTGTTAGTTACTTGATCTTCTGTTAATGCAAATCTTTTAGTCAATAAATGCTACTTTTTAAATCCTTTATTAAAATTCCATTTGATAACTTTTTAATTGGGTTGGATATGGGTATCTCACAGTATCTTTAAATACTGTTTATCGTCCACTAATGGTGTTAAGATGCACATGAAATAGCACCAGTGTTTTCCTTGATTTCTGCTCCTCCAGAAGCTAAGTTGTATAGGGCCAAAACAATTCTATGTGTAAAAACAGTCTTCTCTCCTTCCCTTTTGTAACCTACCAATCTCCTCATATTTGAATGGATCTTGAGACCTGATATGGTATATTTCTGCACAAGTTTTATTTAGTTGTTCTTGCACTAAGCTGGGATTTTACTTTGTGGAATTTGCAAACAGAGAACCAAACAAAGGTGATACAAATGGTGCAGTGTTCATCGTAGGAACCCTCCATTTAGTTAATCTTGTGTTGATAGATATATCCTTCATGACTTGGTCTAATCTTTTCTTGAAGTAATCTAAGCACAGCCACTACTGCATTTTGTGGTATTGAACTCTAAAAACATTATGATTTTTAAAAACATTGTTTGCTTGTTTAAAACTGCTTTTGTTAGCTTCCTTTGTACTGGATAGAAAGGTAGGGTAACCATTTTGTTAAATAGCATGTGATTATATAGTTTTAGCTAAAAGCTAATCTATACCTATTGCAGTGGATAATAAATACATCCCCTCCCTTCATTTTCAGTGGTCCTGTTCCAGTTCTCGTTATGAGTCTCCTCTTTATTGCATCTGTATTCATGTTGCACATCTGGGGCAAATACACTCGGTCATAGACTTCACTGTATCCCACCTGCCAACTTGAAAATGACGATTTGGACCAAAAGTATGGTAGCTTTCAGAGTTTACTTGGAGTAAAGTCATTTGAGCTGTTTCTCTAGATAAAACTCTTGATTTTTTCCTTAATTGGTTTTGCTGTTGAATGGACTCTTAAACTTTCTCTTAAGAAGGGTTTTTGATTCCTTTCTGTCAAAGTTTATTGCTATTTCCTATGTATACTTTAAAGTGCAAATTATTTCATTAAAATTTGTCTACATAAATTAACTGCTTTTTTGGTCTTTCCCTCTAAATGTAATTTTGGTGGCAATTAAAAAACACACAAAAAGCCAGAAACATGTTTCCAAAGTTTCATATAATATATACATTTGAATGAATAAAGAAAAAAAGTGTGCTACAAGAAACTACATTGCAGCAGAAGACTTGGCAAAGGCCATCAAGAAAGATAAACTCATGAAACACCCGGGATGGCCTTATAGGCACATTTTACAAGAAATTGGTTGATGTTTCCACATCTGCTATGTCTTTTTAATCACCTTAAACTGTGGTCCAATTCCCCAGTCGTGGAAAGAGTACTGTGTTCGAGTTCTTCTAAAGCCTGGAAAGAATCCTGGATCCCTTATAGACTGCTCTTGCTCATTGGCCAGGATGCCAAAATAATCTCTAGCATCCTGGCTGATAGGTTAGCTCCTGTATGAGGAGCGCTGGTGAATTAAGACCAGACATGATTTGTGCAGAATCACCATATAACATATCTCATAAGGTACCTCTTTAGTAATTCACTATGTTAAACAATCACGTCAAACACCTTTCGAAGAATTAACATCATAACACCTTTAAAAGAAAGTTACAAGAAGGAGATTCTGACAAAACAGCAGAAAGAACTTTATGACAGACACTAAGAGCTGTTCAGCAGTGGGATGGTCTCCCTCGGAAGGTGGTTTTTAAACAGGTTGGATGGCCATCTGCCAGGGATTCTTTAACTCTGATTCCTGCATTGCAAGGAGTTGCAGTAGCTGACACTTTTAATGCACTGAAAATTCTGCACATGCATCTTGAACCTGTGCATCTTAACATGGAGAAATGCACTATTTCTTGCTTTGTATGCAGAAAACATGAAACAAGGGAGTGCAAGTCACATCTGCATCTCCTGTCAGCACTTGTTTGTAACTTCCAAAGCCGACCCAAGTAACACTGAGATATACCCAAATTGTAGTGTGAGCTGCCAATATTCAGAAAACTGAGCTGGGTAAATGACTGATCCAATAGCATATAAAAATATGCTTTGGCTGTAATCTCAGTAATACTGACTTGTAAGGCCAGTCAGTGTTTATATAGCTATTTAAAATATACCACCCCTTCATAACAAGTTTCAGGGCTGTGTACAGCTCAAGAGGTACAAACACACCACAAATTATCCTCATATTGGAGATGAGGAGAAGAGGGTTGAGGAGGCTGAAATGGAGTTATCTACAGTAGGTACGAGAAGTTCAGCTTCAGTGCTTAATACCAGGTGATAATCCTAAAATGAAAGTGTTTGGTATGCCCAGGCTGGGAAGCTATGAAGTGCTCCTGAATAGCTTGTGGATTTCTAGACATTGGATGCTCTTGGCTGGGGCGGGGGCAGGACGGGACGGGACTGAAAGTTGTTATTTATTTAAATCGAGTCATGATTGTAAGGGGAAATGTCAAAATAAGATTGTGTGTCCTAAAAGTCAGAAATGGTAAAACATTTGGAATCTCCAGATTTATTATTTTAAATATGTGACTTGTACACAGTTGCGTGCAGTTTCTTAATGTTTTGGCTTGGCAGTAGTTTGTGATCAGCCCAGTTGGCTGGAAGACAGCTGGGGAGAAGAAATTTGTCACAATTCCCAACATGTTAATTGCTGTACTTTCCAATTACCTTAACAAAAATATGCAAATTTGGAGTGGCACATCAGTTAATAATAAGCTTCCAAAGTGCCCTTTTGTGCTATACCAAGTTCTCGCCTTCTGATCTTGGAAGCAGAAATTATATCAACTGGAAAAAGAGATTTCCTCACAGTTGGTTAAAAAAAAATCAAATAACCCAACATGTTCCATGGGGAATTCCATGGTTTTTTGTTATTTAAAAAAAAAGCAAAATTAGCCTGACTTAGTTGAGAGTGTTTTTTCACTAACAGCAAGTTGTTTTTTTACCCGTGGAAACGGGGTAGGGGGCAAGTGAAAAGGGGCTGGAACTACCCTTCCTCTGCTCAGAATTGCAACCAGTTCAGGTCAAGCCTTGGCTCTTTTGCTAAGAGCAGGAAATAAAAACAGAACTCTGTGAACTCACCAGGATTCCTCAGACTGCAGCTCTTTGAGTTCCTCCCACTTCTCCTGACCTGGCCATCGATTCCAGGACACCTCCACTGGACTCTGGAAAACAGCCTGAATTGCTTACATTTCATCTAATGCCTGCTAAAATAAAAATTAGGCACAACACGTAGGCTAATAACTGTTAAATCATATGTAATAGAATAATGGTATCATTCAAAAGGTAGAAATACATTATATACAATGTAACAGACTAGTGGCACTTTTAGTTTATGTCATTTTTAATATTCTAAATTCACGTTTGGAATTCCATGTTCAAAATTGAAATGGTAGATTTTTGTGTGCTTTGTGAATATTCTTAAATATAATTGCAACTCTCAGTGAGGAGCCTCCATCAACTGTTTAGTGTGAGCTTGGGCCTGACTTCCATTTTGCATACTAATTACTGGTACTAATTGCCAATAATCCCTCTTGCCAACTGAGCCCTCATAGCTGTTCCCTAGGTTTCTGGAGTTGGGAGCTGAGGGGTCAGGGCTGGGCATGCCCATGTATTGGAGTCATTCCTGTCCTTCCATTTCCAAATCAAACACTGAACTTGCCATGCTGCAGAGAGTTGGACGCAGTGACTTTCAGGTCCAACTTCTGACACTTCTGTGATTCCGACTAAGAGGCATTTCTTCACCAGCTGGCTGTCTCTTAGGGGGCCAATCTGTTGATCATGTGATTTCCAATTGTTTTCCCTTATGCAAAAGACAGATGTAGATTCACAGAGAGGAGAGAGAGAGAGAGTAAAAAATGGAAGAAAGATAGCCTTTTTTTTGGCTGCTTAAACTGCATGATTTAAATGCTAGCAGCCAAGCAAAGCTGTTACTTTTCTAGTCCAAGCACAAAGCCAGGAATAAAACAGTACCCCCAATTCCTTTCAGGGATTCCTCCTCTTCCTCTATCATGTAAGTCAACAAGCTAAATATTAGAATTAAGAGTAACAAGGGTTATTCCATGCACCATACCAAATTCCCTCAATGGGCTTGCCCCCTGTCTTGTGTATGGTATGCTTAAAAGAGTTCCACTTCTGTCTTTGCCACTTGCATCCATTGCCCTCTGCAGTCGTAAAGCCTTTTCTACAAATCTGAGGGTCTTCTCACACATTGTCTTGAGGTATTCACCTAATAGGTAAAGGTAAAGGTACCCCTGCCTGTACGGGCCAGTCTTGCCAGACTCTAGGGTTGTGCGCTCATCTCACTCCATAGGCCGGGAGCCAGCGCTGTCCGCAGACACTTCCGGGTCATGTGGCCAGCGTGACAAGCTGCATCTGGCGAGCCAGAGCAGCGCATGGAAACGCCGTTTACCTTCCCGCTGGTAAGCGGTCCCTATTTATCTACTTGCACCCGGGGGTGCTTTCGAACTGCTAGGTTGGCAGGCGCTGGGACCGAACGACAGGAGCGCACCCTGCCGCAGGGATTCGAACCGCCGACCATGCGATCAGCAAGTCCTAGGCGCTGAGGTTTTACCCACAGCGCCACCTGCGTCCCAAGTCTATTCACCTAATAGACTTGCCTTTAAAAAAACGTTTCCAACAGGCACCAAAAACAGTACAGTGAAGTTGCCAATGGGCAGGAAGTTCCAGTGTATAGATGCTGCCACACGGAAGAAAGTATTACTCACAGGTTTGGAATGAATAATATGTGGCACTTGTGGTGACATGTGGCGCTCTCTCTGTGCTCCATCTTCAGGAGAGGCTGTGAAAGTGTTAGGCTGCTGTCTGGAAATCGTGACCACAATAAACTGAGACTGAATGGAGGTGTTGTGGATGGGAAGAAACATATTCTAAGTTTTGGGAGGGGTTTATAGGTTGTATACTGATGTATCACTATATATGCATGTATCAAAGTAGTTTACAGCGATAAAACCATACAATAAGACCATTAAAAGGTTTAAAACAGTTCTGACTTGTCACTGGACTTTCACGTGGCTAGGAGTGTTTGTGCCCAGCTTAGTCTGGTTCACCAGCCATGGCCATTCCAGGACCAAGATGGCTTAGCCTCAGTTGCCCATGCTGTGGTGACATCCCTCCTGGACTACTGCAATGCGCTGTATGTAAGGTTGCCCTTGAAGGTGGTTTGGAGTCTGTAGCTTCTGCAGAATGTGACTGCGAGTTTGGATATAATACAGTGGTACCTCGGGTTAAGTACTTAATTCGTTCCGGAGGTCCGTTCTTAACCTGAAACTGTTCTTAACTTGAAGCACCACTTTAGCTAATGGGGCCTCCTGCTGCTGCTGTGCCGCTGGAGCATGATTTCTGTTCTCATCCTGAAGCAAAGTTCTTAACCCGAGGTACTATTTCTGGGTTATTGGAGTCTGTAACCTGAAGCGTATGTAACCCGAAGCATATGTAACCCGAGGTACCACTGTAATAGGATCATTTGTCAGTGGTCCTGAAAGTGCTCTATTGGCTGCCGGTGAGCTACTGGGCTCAACTCAAGGTTAGTACTAGAGGATGGCTTGGAAGCCAAGCACCTGAGGGAGTGCCTTCCCCACAAGCAACCCTCTCACATTCCTGCAGTTGTCAGAGGGGACCCTGTAGGCAATGCTGCAGCTGGACGCTGCCCAGGTGTGTCTCCCTCCTGATTAGGTTTCATGTTCATCAGATCAATTGGTTGCTGAGAGATACTGATCCTGGTAACCTTGAAACCACCAGCTGTGAATGCAGGCAGCATGTAGTTTGGCCTTAGGTAAAGGTAAAGGGACCCCTGACAGTGAAGTCCAATCGCGAATGACTCTGGGGTTGCGATGCTCATCTCGCTTTACAGGCTGAGAGAGCTGGCGTTTGTCCGCTCCGCAGACAATTTTTCTGGGTCATATGGCCAGCACATGACTAAGCCGCTTCTGGTGCAATGGAACACCGACACCAGAACAGAAACACCGTTTACCTTCCTGCCAGAGTGGTACCTATTAATCTACTTGCACTTTTTGGCGTGCTTTTGAACTGCTAGGTTGGCAGGAGCTGGGACCGAGCAATGGGAGCTCACTCCATCGTGCGAACCGCCAACCTTTTGATCGGCAAGCCCAAGGCTCAGTGGTTTAGAGCACAGCACCACCCACGTCCCTTAGCTAGGCAACTAGGTCCCTTCACGGCCTAGGACCCTCGTACCTATGGGACCGCCTCTCCTGGTATGCCCCACGGAGGACCTTAAGGTCCATAAATAGCAACACCCTTGAGGTCCCGGGCCCTAAGGAAGTTAGATTAGCCTCAACCAGAGCCAGGGCCTTCTCAGCAGTGGCTCCGGCCTGGTGGAACGCTCTGTCTCATGAGACCAGGGCCCTGCGGGATCTGATTTCTTTCCGCAGGGCCTGTAAGACAGAGTTGTTCCGCTTGGCCTTTGGCTTGGAGTCAATTTGATTCCCTCCCCCTCTTTCTTTTTCCTTTCTCCTTCTGTGAAGAGGCTGCATCCTAATTTTTTAATGTTGTATTTTAATCTTTTTAAAATTGTACTTTAATCAACTTGTTTTTACTATTGGTTGTTAGCCGCCCTGAGCCCGGTCTTGACTGGGAAGGGCGGGGTATAAATAACAAATTATTATTATTATTAGCTCTACACAGATCACACGATGACATTCCTGTTGATACCACTGATGCTTGAAAGGAAAACTGGAAACCAGCCTGATTTGATAAAGAGTTTTTCTAAAATATTGGTATTTCACTGGTAGGTCAAGATCTGTAACCAGATCATCATAACGTGACGGAAAATATTCATATGGCCAGTGCCAGAACCATACTTTGACAGCGAGTGTAGAGAGTAGGAATAATGAATGGACTGAAAAGGGGTGGGGGTAGGGAGTCAGAGGGCAGGTTTATATAAGATAGATACTACATCTAAGATGAAATGTGGGTCCATTTTGTAGGTTGGGCTTGAAGGTGTTGCTGAGTCTGGAATAGTAGGTGGCCGGTAAGTCAGTGTAAATGAAGGAATGGAAAGCTGGTTTCATACTCATGGCCACTCTGGAAGCATTTCACAAGCAGAAGCCCCACAGCTAATTTGCATGCTTTAGTTACATACGTAATTAAGAAGTACAGCAATTAGCGCGATGGGAAGTCTGACAAGTCCCTTTCACCAGCTGAGGCATCTAGCTGGCTAGGATAGCTGAAAACCTCAGCGTTTGCCAGTTAAAGTTTTCTCCTAAAGCATGCTGAACCATGACGCTGAAGGGCTTGAGCTATTCTCCCATTTTAAACCCATTCTTGTGATGAAGGCTGATCCCCAAAATCCCAGTAGAAGAGGATTCCTGCAATGGAACATATTTAAAAGCTGTAACTGGTTCCATGAGTACCAGATCTTCTTATACGGCTGAAATCCTTTCAGCGCTGCCTAGCACTAAGTAACTGGCACATTAACCAGTCCCAAACAGATTACAGATAACGATGAGATTCAGTCCAGCTTCTATTACCTTTTGAAGGCATAAATGTGCGCTTGAGAGTCATATGCATGTACAGAGTGATTATATACTTACTGTCAGGGGTTCAGGGAGAGAGGGACAGGGTAGGCAGGAGATGGAGAGCGATGGGGAGGAATTCCAAGCCAGCGAGGAAGAGGATGACAATGACTCAAGAGATTCCATGAGTCTTT